TCTATCGGAGCAGAAATTGCAGGCTCGCCGCGCCGGAGGCATGGATTCTGAATCTCTTTTCGACGAGGATGATGGCTTTGATGATCTGAGCGACAGCGCTAGCGACGATGAAGGAGACGAAGATGGGTCTCGTCTCTCTTCCGCGGAGACTGATGGAAGCAGCGGCGACGGCGATGATAGCGATATGATGTCTTCTTCCGAAGATGAAGATGATGAAGATCAGAAAGACGTAGCAGACGAGGGCCTCACACAGGAACAGCTACGAGCGAAATACGCCAACATACCCGACCTAAAAATACCTAAGAAAGCAGAATCAGTTGCCGAGAACGCGAGCCAAAGCCCTGACAATGCAGGAGGGTCAGACGCCGAGACCAGTGATGAATCAGTGGATATGGATGACGATTTAGGATCTAGTGATTTTGATGGTAGTGGCGAGTCTGGGGATGAAGGGTCAACAGATGAGTCGGGATCTGAAGAAGAGGCCAGTGGTCTGCTGGGACTCTTTTTTGGAAAATCAGAGTTGAAAGAAATGAAGAAAATCGAGGCCAAGGCTGAAAGTCCCGAAAACGACGAGACGAGCGGTCAAGTTGATGCACCTGAGCCGGAAATCGCACAGCCAGATTTTGAGATGGGGGATGAGGATGATGATGATGAAATGTCACTTGTCCGCCACCCGGATTCTATCAATGGTGATGGCGCAGATGATAACGAAGATGGTGCTAATAATACGGCATCTATGGTGGAAACCAAGCCGAATGGCGTGGAAAGCGGGACGGAACATGATGATGAAAGCAAAGAGCCTACAATTCCTTCAGACCATGTCGACGTTGATACAGAAAACGTTGATCGGGACATAGCGATGACAGATGCTCCAGACACTGCAGCCAGCGATGCGTCAAAGTCGGAAGAGCCTGCAAGCACAGCAGCTTCAGAGAAAGACACTCATCCAGAAATAGGAGCTACGGATGTCCATTCTGATACCTCACCGAGTACATCACTCACAACAACCATGGACACCAAGTTAGAATCGAAGCAATCCGATAGCGAAGTATTGCCGTTGAAAGAGACTGTACCGGGAGAATCACCCACCACCGTGGCCCGAGTCTCAACACCTCAATCCGCAGCCCATAAAATAGAAGTTCCGTTCCTCCTGCGGGGAACACTACGCGAGTACCAAAGACAAGGCCTCGACTGGCTGGCTGGCCTGTATGCAAACAATACCAATGGCATCCTGGCAGACGAGATGGGTCTGGGTAAAACGATCCAGACCATTGCGCTATTAGCGCATCTTGCCTGTCGTCACGAAGTCTGGGGTCCTCACTTGGTTATCGTGCCCACCAGTGTAATGCTCAACTGGGAAATGGAATTCAAGAAGTGGTGTCCTGGCTTCAAGATACTGGCCTACTACGGCTCTCAAGAAGAGCGGAAGAGGAAACGTCAAGGCTGGAACAACGACGACGTTTGGAACGTCTGCGTTACTTCATATCAATTGGTGCTTCAAGATCAACAGGTATTTAGGCGACGCCGATGGCACTATATGATTCTTGACGAAGCACATAATATCAAGAACTTTAAATCACAGCGATGGCAGACGCTGCTAGGGTTTAACACACATTCACGCCTGCTCCTCACAGGAACTCCGCTTCAAAATAATTTAACCGAGCTGTGGTCGCTGTTGTTTTTCCTTATGCCTGCGGAGAACGGCGTCGGGGGATTTGCAGATTTGCAAGAGTTTCATGACTGGTTTCGCAAACCTGAATCACAGATCTTGGAGAACGGGAGAGACCAAATGGATGACGAGGCCAAGGCCATCATTGCAAAGCTACACAAGGTTCTGCGACCATATCTTCTCAGACGTCTCAAAGCCGACGTGGAGAAGCAAATGCCAGCCAAATACGAACATGTCGAATTCTGTCGACTTTCAAAGCGCCAGCGTGAACTGTACGATGGCTTCCTAGCACGCAGCGAGACGAGAGATACGCTGGCATCCGGCAATTATCTCTCCATTATCAACTGTTTGATGCAGCTGCGCAAAGTCTGCAACCATCCTGACCTGTTTGTGGACCGTCCCATCATGACATCGTTCCGCATGCGCAAATCTATAGTCGCAGACTATCAGGATACGGTGAGAGTTGTGCAGCGGTCTTTGGTTGCAGACAGTCCCATGAGCACTGTCAACTTGGGTTTTCTCAACCTAGTGCCCACTCAGCATGAGCATCTATCTACCACGAAGGCGGATAGTGTAGCCCAACTGAGCTCCCACCGCGTCCTCATGGATCTTAGAGAGGCTCAGAAATGCCGAGCTCAGAATGCCTACACAACCCTTGACCCGGCTACGGTAGAGTCGAATATTGCCTATGTTGAGAGTGCTGCCCGGTGGGGCCGCTTTGAGGAACTGCAACACTGCGTCTACCTCAACGCCCTTCGTCGGCAACAAAGGCCGATATATGGCAGCAACGTCATAAGCTTGTTAAACATCAACGCCCATGACCGTCTACGCAAGCCCCGGCCTAGAGTTCCTCGAAAAATCATGGAATGGTTCGATTCCGACTCGGCCTTTGTACAGGCACTAACTCCATCCCTCGAACAGAGAGCTGATAGCCTCAAGACTGCCATAGAAAAATTCTCCTGCGTCACGCCCGCAGTGGTGACTCGGGACTTTAACCAGCTTATTCTGGGTCGAAACGGTGTCGAGGCATTTACCGACGAAGACCTCAAGCTATCAGCACCGGTGCGATGGGCGCCTTTTATGCCCAAGCAACCCCCTGCAGACCCTTGGCACGAGGCTCGAATGCGTCTCACCATCCAGTTTCCCGACAAGCGTCTTCTTCAGTACGACTGCGGCAAACTACAGGCATTAGACAAGTTGCTGCGCAAGCTGCAGGCTGGCGGCCACCGCGCCCTCATCTTTACCCAAATGACAAAAGTCCTCGACATCTTAGAGCAATTCTTAAATATTCACGGGCACAAGTACCTCCGACTAGATGGCGCTACCAAAGTCGAGCAGCGCCAAATCTTGACAGATCGGTTCAACCATGATTCACGCATTCTCTGCTTCATCCTGTCTACTCGATCAGGAGGTCTGGGCATCAATCTCACGGGCGCGGACACGGTCATCTTCTACGACCAAGACTGGAACCCGGCTATGGACAAACAGTGTCAGGACCGATGTCATCGTATCGGTCAAACGCGTGACGTGCACATCTACCGTCTCGTCAGCGAGCATACGATCGAGGCGAATATTCTTCGTAAAGCATCACAAAAGCAGATGCTTGACGATGTTGTTATTCAAGAGGGCGAGTTTAATACGGATTCGTTCAACCGACCCTCAGTCAGAGATGTCCTTGGCGAGAAGGTCGATTTTATGAGCGAAGGCGTTGCTGCGGCAGATGCCGCTCTTGACCTTGTCCTTGGCGGATCGGAAAGCAACAATGATCAGCGCCGTGTCGGCCGCGTCTTTGAGCAAGCGGAAGACAAAGAAGATGTCGCCGCCGCACGCGTGGCAGAGAAGGAGATCCTGGCCGACGATGCCGACTTTACGGAAAAGGCCGGTGGAGCTACCTCGGGCACTTCGACAGCGCGCCAAGGAACGCCAGCAGGCAAGTCGATCTTTGACGGGGGCATTGGAATACTGGATGGGCCAGTCGAACCCGGTATCGACGTAATTGAGGAGTATAATGCTTGGGGCGGAAGAATGGGCAACGTTGATGACTATATGCTTTCTATCATGACCGAGGAGTTGAAACACACGAAACTGGAGCTGCCAAAGGATAAGAAGAAGGGCAAGAAGAAGGGCAAAGACACGAGGAAACGATAATAGCGGACGCAACTCAGCTGTTGTCAAGCGAGTATTGTGGTTGGATTCACTACCATCCAATGTAATCTCAGCATTGTGTATAAGTACGGTACCATGGTTTTGTTGTGTTGTGTTGTAAGTTACAATAGTGTTCGAGGGAGACATTACTGCATGTGTTTTAAAAAAAAAACGGTGGGGGACATTATCATGACGAGGGAGTTTGGGATTTTCAAAAGGCGATAGCAGGTTGATTACTACGTTTAGATTTGGTGGGCACAGGCACTGCCATTGGAAATGCGCATAAATCGAATAATCTCCCATGGCTTTTATCTCGTCCTTTCTTGTACTAAGGTTGTTTATTTGAAGCATTGCTACCCTGTAAATGATAGAATACGCGTGGGAAGTTGAATAGTAATAGTCGACTTTTCCTTTTCAAGATCTGTATGATTATATCAGTACTACACAATACTGTAATTAACCTTGTCTCTTCTGGGATTGGTTCAGCTGACATGGTTGTAAATTGTCGTCCGGACGGTCTTGGTTGTTGACTCGTTAATCGTGATCAGCAGGAGGGCTGCTATCAAAATCCTGTACCTTGGTCTATTTGAAACAGCCAGTATATTAATCCCAGACAGAAATGTACCAAGGAATGGAAGTCATCAAGTTGACTCTGATTGGATCATCGGTGTCGACAATGGAATCACATACTACTGTAAATAATTCTTGTCCAAGCCACTGATCGAATGTTCGTATATGCACGATATCATCACCGAGGCTCATTCGCTCTCCCTGGCGTTCTTTAGTGCAAAAGCTAGACCAGTACAATGACACGCACACATGTTGCGGCTGCAGAAGATGTCACAGAGCATCTGGGGCCCCACTTGGGACTAACTTGGCCAGCCAGCACAATGAGCGGAGAGGTGCAAGTACCGGTACCTGGTTGAGTCGGAGCATTTACAGAGACACGGGTTGATTGTATGCACAACACCGAGTCCATTTTTTAATGTTTGTGCCTGTCCTTACCATGGTTCTTACTTGTACGGGATTGCCAGTGGAATACGAGTTTGGTACCAGGTACTCGTACATTGGAGATGCTGAGAATGGTGGGACTGGGGAATGCACTGCAAGGTACGTACGAGCATGGAGCACCTCTATGTGTGCCTGGCACACAAGGTTCCATGTACCGCTACCTCCCGTCTGTGGCGCTGTGGCACCACGCGTAAGGCAGTCCGAGTTGCTCGCACGGGCGGCTTACGGGGGGCCATTACGGAGTTACAGGCACTCTAGCTTAGGGCCCAGAGACGCTCTGCCTCTCTGCGCTGTGCTGTGCTGCCAAATGCTGCAGAACGGATTGACGGCCATCAGTCAGCCCCCCCCAGCAGGTCCAGCTCAGGTCCAAAGTCACCGTCACGGACCCCCCATGTCGAAATTTCCCAATCCATCCTCGCCTTTGCAGACAATTTCGCTTCATCTTAATGCGACCGATGCCCAGCGGGGAAGCGTCTCGTCCTCCATCTCGCCATTCGACGCGCCAATTCGGCCTCTTGCCACCGCGATCTCGCCCTCGGAGCCATCGTCGAATGCATTGACGCCGCCAGAGGCTGAGCCGGAGCCTGACCCCGAGCCCGACGCCGCAGATACGGACACGGAACACACGCAAAGAGGGCGAGACGGAGACGTTGACGTCGTCCCCTGTGGTTGACGGACACGGACACGGACACCGACGCCGGATTCTAAGGGCCTTGTGCATCTCCATTCCTGGCGTCAAGAGAGCTCGCGCTGCTGGCGCACGACGAGGAGGCATGCAGACGGCAAAGGGGAAGGCCGAGGCGCAGGGACGGAAGGCCAAGGTGGGTTTATTCGATCTGAGAGGCGGACGAAATGGAAAAATATGGGGAGGTAGCTGACAGAAGCTGATGTTTTCTTTCTTTCTTGTAGCTTGCGACTTCCTACCAGGAGCTCTTGGAGTGAGTTTTCCCCCCATCTCCCATCTCCAGACTTGCGTCTCTGTGGGATCTCTCTCCTGACTGACGTGCCACTTTCTGCAGCGAATTCTCGAGCACCGACCTCAAATCCGTCGGCAACTATACCCTTGGCCGCCTGATTGGTAAAGGCTCCTTTGGCAAGGTCTACTTGGCCTCTCACAAACTCACAAATGGCTCCAAGGTCAGTGCTTCTTTCGTTGGCGACCCTTATCGAGTTGTACTCCGACTAACGTCGCTGTTTGCTTAGGTCGTCTTGAAGTCGGCGAATCGAACCGACTCGAACCTGGCCCGCGAGATCCACCATCATAGACAATTCGTCCACCCCCATATCGCAAGATTGTATGAGGTGATTGTGACGGAGAACTTGGTGTGGATGGTCCTTGAGTACTGTGCAGGTAAAGTTCTGATGGATCACTTGGTACTCTTTCGGATATGAACTGATATGTCTGCGGCGCTTTTGTAGGCGATGAACTGTACAACTACCTCCTCGACCATGGCCCGCTTCCTATGCCAAAGGTGCAAAAGATTTTTGCCCAACTAGTCGGCGCCGTCAGCTACGTTCACATGCAATCTTGTGTTCATCGCGATCTTAAGCTCGAAAATATCCTCTTCGATACACACGAAAACGTGAAGCTTGTCGACTTTGGCTTTACCAGAGAATATGAAGGCCGAACGAACCATTTGCAGACCTTTTGCGGAACAATATGCTACTCTGCGCCTGAAATGCTAAAGGGGGAAAAGTATGCTGGCGAAAAGGTGGATGTCTGGAGCTTGGGTATTATTCTATACGCCCTGCTCTGCGGAGAGCTACCTTTTGACGACGACGATGACAACGTAACCCGAACCAAGATTCTTACAGAAGAGCCAACCTATCCCGAACACTTTCCTACAGAGGCAATTCCTCTTATCAAATCCCTGCTGTCGAAGCGTCCTCTTCTCCGACCATCACTTCCAGAAATTCTAGCTCATCCTTTTCTCGCAGAGCACGCACCGGCACAGCAAGCTATTCTCGAAACAAAGGCCTTACCCCCCTTTTCTACTCTATTGGAGAAAGACTGCCTACACCGCATGCGTAGCGCTGGTGTGGACACCGACTCGGTTATTGAAAGTGTACTTGCGCAAAAGTGTGATGCCTTGGCCGGATGGTGGACGCTGCTGCTCGAAAAAGAAGAACGAAAGATGCGTCGGAGAGAAAGAAAGAGGAAAGAAAGAGAGAACGATAAGAGCCTGCATAGGATATCAGTGGCGTCAAGTCGTTTTGAGCGAATGCTGCAGGATGTCGATGAGGATGGTGGCCTGACGAAGCAGTTTATCAAATTAGGAGACCCAGCAATGCCCAGAGCTCGAGGAAGACCGGATCGGAGAAGCGCTCACTACTATGACCTGGCTATCGCTGACATGTCTTACTTTACCGCCGAGGGCAGTCGTTCAAATGGCCCGCAGACTCCAGACGAAAATGGCCGCCATCGTTCTATTGACAGCCACTCGATTCGCTCAGTCTCGACGACGCGCAACTACCGGCCGATTCCACCGCCCAAGGAAGGCATTTTGCGCAGCGCTAGATCTCGAGGATCGACTCTGCACCTCGTCACCACGACCGAGTCACTTGGCCTGGGTGACCACAGCGCTCCACCAAGCTCTCAACAGCAGGATGACAATAGCCTACAGAAGGCGAAGAAGAGGCCTAGCCAGGCCATCATTGCTCACTGGAAAAACTGGACTCATTGGTTTATCGAGAACACGACTAGAAGGCGGCGTGGACATGAAAGACGCACGAGTCGAAGTGTGCCGGACTTGCATAAGAAAGAAGGCAGCACCAAAAGCAGTAATGATGCCAGTCCCAGGCCACAAACCAGCAAATACCCAAACACAAATTCCCTAGGACCAAATGCTACCGCTCCCCTCCCCAAGGGGGTCGTGGCAAACGGACACCTGGTCAAGGCTAACGGATCATCTAGCTATGGCTCTCTTCGAGCAAGTGTAAGCGGGCCGGTAGCGACACCAACATCTCAGCAACCGTTGAGACCTCGGATCGCCACCTCACAGGCTTATAAACGCCAGTCACTATCGCCATCTCCGCTAACACCCCGAGGTACTGCTGCCCGACGTTCGTCGGCAGGCTTGCGGGGGAGAAAATCGACATCATCTTCCGTGTCCTCCGTCCGATCAATGCACCACCATCATCACACGCACTCCAAGGCATCTTCCACCAGCTCTACCGGCTCCGTGTCAACATCTAAAACGCCGTTAGGCCGTGGACACTCGCCTCATCACTCGGTCAAAGTTCTTCCTGCGACACCTACGGGCACAGCATTCCCCTCCAATATTCGCCTCGTTCGCATGCCGCCCGCTCCGCCGGTGAACTCGTACAACGAAGGTATGCCGACGCAAGCTCCTGGGTCCCCCAACCCCTTTGCCTCGGGTGTCATGTTTGCGAAGCGAAAGAAGAACCTCTTCAAGGGCCCGGCCCTCAGTTTCGGAGCCTCCCACGGACCGGTACGGAATGCGGCTACCGGTCCCCATTCTCACTCTCGTAGTGGCAGCGCCTCGGGATTGGGACGCCGTTCTGGAGAGATTACTATTCAGGAGGAAGATGAAGACCACATGGGCGGTTTGGATGAAGAGGAAGAAGAAATCGAGGAGGTGGATGCGTTTGGCCCCGTGATTGGTGGTCCAGGGGAGATTATTGAGGAGCAGATCCTTGAAGACGAAGCGACAACTCCGACGGCAGAGATGCACCCGACGGCAGAGATACACAGCCCTTCTTCGACAATCTCCCCCAGGAACACTACTATACTCGCATAATGTCGCTTGTTGAACGAAAAAGAGACGAACGAGCTCAGTTTTCAACTTGGAATCAAAACGGACTGCTTGAAAAAAGACGGCAGAGGCGTAATACAGCATTAAACATGGAACACACATCCAAGGCAAGACGTGTTCCCGATGAGATCCAACGAGATCTCCCACCTAACCCCTATTTTATCTCTATTTTAATTTTTTATTCTTCTATTATTGTTTTAGTGAGCCCACGTTGGCGAGGAATGGACTAGGTCGCTACTGTATATTTGCAAAAAAAATTCTCTTGTCTTTGCTACTACGGGTCGAATTGTCAGTTTGTAACAAAAAAACATGCTCCCTTTTTATATGTACTATACCCACCGTGGTCATGGATATCTACGTTGTATTCTCTTACGACTTAGACTTTGAGCAAAGCTAGAATTTCGAAAGTCGATAGAACAAATTTCCTTGGTTGTTTTCTTTTTACAAGATGTACTCTTTTTTTTTTGTGTGTTTTCATTTAATTATATGATGATTGCTCCAAAAGAGGTCGCTCTAATAGTGATATTTGTACTCCAAAGAAGAAGAAAAAACGTTTAAACTTCTTTCACTGGGTAAACTTATAAGGTTTGCCTTTCTCGTTCCTCCTGCTTTCTCATCTTTTCGACCAGGACGGACCGCTCTTCTCTCAGGGTGATCCATGTCCAGAACCAAGCCATCATTTCGACAAACATGAATGCGAAGAGAAGTCTGTTGTGTAAATGGTCGGTGCCCGATCCAGAGGCTTTGTAAGAGGTGTTTGGGCGTCTCGCTGATGAGGAGGAGGAAGAGGACGAGGCCTTGAATAATATTGACGAGGGGCCGAAAGCGTAAGAGTAAGCGACGAGGAGCATGGAGAGGAAGAAGCGGAGGGGAGCTAGAGCAATTGATGCCTGTCAGTAAAATAGTTCTTGGGATAGGGAGATGGAGATGGGACGGACCTTGAGTGCCCCAGTAGTAGAAGGCGCTGAATTCCTCGGGCATGGACAGTGAGACGAGGTCGCTGATGCCGGAGAAGGCGAGGATGACGGCGAGGAGGGCTAGCGCTGGGCTGGGGACGTCGAAGCCGCGAACTTCGGGCTGGTACAATTCGCAACGTTAGATGTGTGAACGGACGAGGGAGGCTGGGTAAGAAGAACAAGGGGAGAGGTTTACCATGTTCATGCTTTCTCCTAGAACAAAGACGATTGCCTGGTCTGCTACGGTCTTGGGCTTGAAGAGGAAGAAGTAGGCTAGGGTGAGGTGGAAGAGGGAGATGGATGTGATGATTGTGGTGGACGATATGAGAGCCATTGTGGGCGATTTGTTGTGACCTATGGGGCCTGCTGTAAGGGAGATTGCTTTGGTGTCTTGTTTGTTATCGGATTGTGTAGTTGAGCATGCGAGACGTTGAGGTTTTGGGGGGTTGTTTCCGAGACTCCGTGCTCCGTATACGTGGCACGAGTTTTGTCTTTTTCAGCAGTCGTTAACTTTCGCGGCGTGTTTCGGGTGAATTCTAGGGGAAAAGCATGCTCTCAGCTTTAAAGAGAGCAGGCAGAAGTTTCGGAGCGCGGGGAAATAGAAGAGACGGGCTATTTTGGTGAAGTTCGAAACAAAGAGACCATGTGGTTTGGATTTGGCATCACATGCTCGAGTGCCTATAAAGGGTGAAAGAAGGTATGGGAAGCTTTGTTGAGCTTATCGATTGGAGCTTGGACTTTGGGGAATGAGTGTGGCGCTGCGGGTGTGGCGCATTGGATGATGATGTGGGGTTTTAGGTTGGTCTGAAGGAGAGAAGTGAAGTGAAAACGGAGCGAGCTATTATGGAAATGGATTGAGCTGTGAGTTGAGCTGAAGTATGGAGCCGTGCTGATTCTAATTCTCCTTGATTTGGGACTTCATTGATTGCTTATCTTGACTTTACCAGTGTTGAGCTGTAGACTATCAGCTGATTGAATCACACCCGACTCTAGTCCTCATCTGTCTCAACCATCTCAACAGACAACGGCCTCACTATCGCCATCATGAGCAGTCCAGACACTGAAGAGCCCAAGCTGGACAAGGCCCGCCACATCAAATACTGGCAGCGATGCCACAACACCTTCCTACCATCGGCATACACATCCAATGATTCCACCAGACTCACTTTTGCCTTCTTCATCATCTCCGCCCTCGATCTCCTGTCCGTACCCCTCACAGCTCAAGACCGAGCTGCGGCGCGAGCTTGGGTCCTGAGCCTCCAACATCCTGATGGCGGCTTCTGCGGTAGTCCAACCCACTCCATTACCGGCGAGAACGCGTCCAAGGGATCAGCAAACATAGCGGCGACATTCTTTGCCCTGATCATCTTGGGCTTGGTAGCGGAGTCGGAAGAGGAGCAGCGCTCGGCCTTTACCGGGGTGGATCGCAAGGCTCTGTTGCTTTGGCTGAAGAAATTGCAGAGAAGCGATGGAAGCTTTGGGCAGGTTCTGTGGGAGGGGGAGCCCACGGGTGGGAGAGACATGCGGCATAGTTATTTGGCGAGTATCATTCGATTCATGCTGCGGGGTTCGGTCCCGGAAGGGGATGAGAATTGGGTCGAGGATATCGATACCGAGGGGATGATTGAGTATATCAGGAGTGTTCAGGTAAAGTTGCTCTGTCTCAAGAGAGTGATGCCGGCATTGACTGTGAGGTGAACAGACTTATGACGGTGGTATCGCTGAGTCTTCAACGGAGGAATCTCATGGTAAGCGCTTATCTCAACATGAATGACTTGGCCGATTTACTAATATTGTTTAGGTGGATATGCGTACTGCGCAATTGCTGCTCTGAGTTTACTTGATCGGCATTCCGAGACATTCACACCAGAGGAAACCAAGCGGGCGCTGGACCGCGGCATTGCAGATCGCCAAAGCCTGCTCAGGTTCTTCGCAAGCAGGCATTTTCCGTACTTGGCAAAAGAAGAGGAAACCAGAGACGAGACAGCAGTCAATCACCTTCAAGCCAGATTAGGAGAGCTGAGCCTGGATGGAGGACTTCCCTACGTTGGATTTAACGGCAGGTGGAACAAGAAGGCTGATACTTGCTATACGTGGTGGGCTTGCGGTTCCCTGAGGGTGAGTCAAATGATCTTTTGACGTTTTGCTTGTCTCCTTTTTTGAGTGTTACTGACGAGAAGGGATGGCTTCGACTCTAGCTCCTCGATTGTGACAGATTTTACGACTCCGAGCCTTCTTGCAACTACCTATTAGACATTACCCAGCACAGAATTGGTGGATTTGGCAAATCCGTTGGTGACCCTCCGGATATCTACCATTCTTACCTCGGATTGACCACGGTAGCTCTGTTGGGCGGATCTGAGCTGAAGGAGGCCGACGCAGGGTTTTGCTGTAGTAAAGAAGGGGCTCGCAAGATTGAAGTGGCTAGAGATGGGTTGCTGGAGTCTTTGAAGAGGCAGAGTGAGCAGCGGGGAAGATGGGGGGCTGATGAGTTTTGGGGGAAGGCTGCGGAGGTGGTCAAGGTGAAATAGTTTACAGCTAAGTGAACATGTTGAAGCCTTCATAATTTTCCTTCATGTCGTCTGTTTCCATGCCATGACAGCATACCGGCGTGTTTTATTTTTGCTAAGCTATCTCGTGTTAAATGAGAACTCCCCTAATTCCTTCTTGAAGGCGCAACGATGGAGACGAGAGAGAAGCAATATGCTTCCCATACAAACATTATCACCCTAAGTAAATAGACGTCCTGTTCCCTGAACTATGGCTTGATGGAAAGAAAAAGATCATATAACATCTAAAAGATAGCTAAAAAGAAGGAGACTTCCCATGCTCCGTCGTGGCCTATAAAACTTGACAGAATGCCTTGGCGAAAGAAAAGTAAAACTTCTGGTCACTGAATCTGAATAGTAACTCTGAAATGGTTCATGATTCCGCAAAACTCGATCATATGGTTTGTTCAAAAGAAGATGCCTTGGTAAATCCGAATAACAACTGGGCGAATGTCAAAATCTGGAAAAAAAGTAAATTAGCAAAAAGAATCCTTATTCTTTTGACAGCTCCGTGAACCTGGACGGTATAGCTTACTTGGCTGAGATCAAGATCGATGCTCGCTAGACGTCTCTTCGCCCTCCTTTGCCAGTTTTCATCAAAACACATTCTCACAAACGTTTGCTCCAAATAATTCACTCCGAATCCAGACGACGCTTACGACCTCGCGACAAAGGTGGTTCGAGATCAATGCCCACTGCGTATCCCCTTGTCTCAAGATGGTCACGCATCAGTGGCCCCATTTGTCCCGCGCGGAGCACACTTGCGACTCTGGACAATCTCTCAATCCCTTTGGTAAGCCGAAAATGAGGTGCTTTGCCTAGTTGCAGCAACGTAGCCAGCCCCATGACATCGGAAACGTTGCTCCCCAGCTCGTCGTCAAGGATATCAAGGGCAGAGTCCCTGTCTGGATCCCAGGGATCTACTCCCGTGAGCGAGTAAATAGATTCACAAAGGATCGACAAGTTCGATTCTAACAAGCAATCTATATTTGTGAATGCCTTTTGCAAGAGTTCGAGGTTCTCGAAATCATTCTTTTCACGGTTGATTGCTTCTTCCACGCGGCTGGCTGTTATTCGATCTAATACTGGCCTGCCCAATGCCGAAACGATCTTGAATTCCCGATGTAAGTTTCTCCAGCAATGTGAGTAATGCGAGCCATAGCTTCCAGCTCCTCGAAGATTAGATCGAAAAGGGAAGATGTAGTAGCCTCCCTCTCTGGATTACACTCCTTTCCCGAGGCATGTTGGCGCCAAAGGGCACGCCCCGTGCGAATTTCGTTCTCGAAACCTGCGGCATCGGCATTTTCTCCTGCGAAAAAATGGGGGCTTGGTTTCTCCAAGTCTTTGCGGCTTCGAGATTTGAATCCCTCCGTTGTCGGCAACCCGTTTTCGTCTATCCAGATGATGGCATTAGGGTCGATCTTGAGATGTCCCTTTTCGAGGAGTTGAACGAGGCGATGTCCAAGTTGATTGGAGAATGAAGTCTTGAAGTTGTCGAGAGGAGCCCAGATGCTTGCTTGTTTCGGAATGTTGGCAGTCGACTCGACTCCAAATGAAGAGCCCTCGGATTGTCGTTGGGCAGGTGATCGATGAAATGGGCGCCCCTCAACCTGACCAAAAGATGGCGTCTCCGAAGATTTACGGGAGGCTTGTTGCGCGGAGAAATTATTGGAGGCCATAATTTGGTGATACGGTCCCCTTGAGAATGATGGTTAGAAAATGATTGTGAAAAGATATGAAGGGGTAGAAATACAGGGAGAAGGTAGGGTTGCGAATTTGCAAGATGAGAGAGTTAAAGAAAAGGACAGAGAAGAGAAAAGGGGGGGGGGGGGGGCGGAAATGCTGCTCGTTTAGTTTTGGAAGAAATGTGAATTCACTGCGGTCGTTATTCCACTCAAGACAAGTGCTTAGGAGCTTCACATTCTCAGATAACATCTAATAATATGCACATACCACCACTGCCGAAGTATCTGGCAAAACTTCTGTCTCTTGAATTCTCGTGCTGGCATCACGCGTTCAAGCATAAAGCAACAGCGCTGCCATAAGCAACCATAGATTCAGGAACATCGACATCGATATCGACATTTCTATAGCACAACCTTCGATGGAACTTTGATACGACAGGAACATACCTATACAATTGGCAAGCAAGCGGAGGACAGAAAAACCAGAACTGAGAAGATTTTAAACACCCACGAGTCAAATCATACGCCTACAAAAGGAGTAACTACTATTTACATTTCCCTATCACTGCTACTATATCTATATTTCCCTATCACTACTACTATATCTATATTTCTCTAGTAGCTGCTACTATAGCTATATCGTAAAGTCCGGATGCTGACGGAATACGCATTCCCTTATAAAAACACTACTTAATAAGTTAATCAGGTGCTCATATTGCTGAATGTATGTGCCTATTCATTTGCGGTCTCGCTTTTTCTGACCTCCGCTTGGCAAGGTAGAACCGCCGTGTTTGATTCCCATCATTCTTTTCTTTTAGCTTATCCCTCACCTCCATCAACGCCTTACCCAACAAATTCAGCCCCCAATACTCCCATCCGCATCCGCCTCCTTAAACCCAACCCCCCAAACAGCATCAAACGGGCTTGCCTCCACAAGCTCCCTCTGCTCGTCGCCAATAGCGTCTCCCATAATAACAAGCGGAACATCACCCGTCGCACCGAGATAAAAACCCTCTTCAGTGACTGCATTGGTGAATTTGAGATAGTTGCTTTGTTGCACGGCTTCGCGGTTGCGTTCCAGGTTTCTTCGGAGAAGTTTGTGACTTTACGGGCGAGGGCCTTGATTTTGCGGGGGTGGAGGCCTCGTTTGAGGATTTTGGTTGCGGAGGAGTGGTCGTTGAAGAGGATTGAATTGTACTTATGGCAGAGCCATGAGAATTGGAGAGTTGAGGTACGGAGGAGTGCGTTGATTTGATTTCCTCTTAGGTAGGCAGGTAGTAGTTACTGTAGAAACAAGGGGATTCCCGGGTAGTAGCTAAACAGCTACAGAAGATGCTGGCAAGACTGCTTTCCTCTTCCAGTAATATCCCTCCTGTTGGCTCTTTGAAGGGGACTGCATCTTTTGGCTTGTGAATCCTCTTACTTCCACTGGGTTCACTAGGGTAAGTTGTTCTGGGCAGAGAATTGGAAAGCCCGCCGATATGTCAAGTTGACCATTTATTTACGTCCACTTTTATCAGATATACGAGCACTATCGGAGTATATGGCAGATCAATTGAGTCGATTAAGTCAATCGGGTTCAGAACGCCTCACTCGGATGCAAGTAACGATAATTTCTTTTCAAGAAACTGTCGATGCCTGATCCTTTGAATGCAGTGAGATGCATTCAATCAGTACATTGCTCATGCCGCTGTGAATGTTGTCTTGGCCAAGTTCAAATCCCAGGCACCCTTAGTCTGAGCCAATGGGATTGACGCACGCCAAATCCCATTCACTTGAGAGAAACGTAAAAGGAATGCATAGAGTTTAATTCGTGAATTGTCTAGACACTCAGATACATCTTTTCGCTCTGCAGATCGATTGATCAAATAGTTCAAATATTTTGTTGCTTGTGAAGAGCTGGCTGCCGCATGATGCCACAAGGCCGTGTCTAGGACCACAAATAGAGACTTACCTACTTCTACTAAGGTATCTTACGTCTTTTTATCACCGCGAACTCAACCAAGTTTTGCACCAACATATTGGTGGCGAGAGCAGACAGCAAACGCCTCAGAAGCTGCGTGGATCTGGGGCTATGAAGCTTCCCCCAAAATAAACGCAGCCCGGCGAGCCACATCTGACCTCTGCATTTCTGCATCATCATCATCGGCCTGCTAGCCACTATTACGCCATAAATCGACCTACCAAACTCATTATCTGGGTCATGGTCGACACCAAATCCAACGCTATATGCGACAAGAATTCTTCGCCAGAGACGCCGTCAAGCTTCGATAGAACAGAGACGGGTCCTCAGCTGCTAGCACTTCAAGAAGAGTTGCGCAACGTTCTCTTTGTTGGTGTAGCTAACCCGCCAGCCGGCCAGCACCCATCCTCCCCTTCGGCTGGTCTTGGAAAATCGGCTTCGAGGCAGGGTGGCTTCGATTTCACTCAGACGACAGTCCCCAAAACGCGTATCATTAAGCATCTGAAAAACTGGATATCTGAGTGTGCTCCTCCACTTGATAAGTTTGACGAGGCCTGTCACTTCGGCATCCACATTCCAAACATCGCTCGGACCTCACCAGCACTGTTTTATGCTATGCTGGCCTTTTCCGCTACGAAATCAGAGAAGAAAAAGCATCTAAGTGGAACCCTTGATAGCTTGGAATTCTATCAAGCGTCTATTGAGTTCTTAAAAACAGACCTACGAGAGGGAAACGCGACAAGCCTGATAACTGCTTGCATTCTAGCCTTGTTAGAACTGATGTCCGGTAATTCCAAGAATTGGAGGCGCCATGTGGAAGGGTGTGCTGCTCTGTTTGAGGCTTCCGGAGTTAATGGCTTCTCCGGTGGTCTTCTTCAGTCCGTCTTTTGGTGCTTCGCGCGTATGGATCTGTGTGGTGCCATCATTGCAGACGGCACGAAGAGCAGCGTACTCGACACTGACAAATGGATTCCCGAATCAGCGGCCAAATCGCCTAATTTGATACGAGACACGTTTTATCATGCAAGCCGGGACAGCCCCGACATGCACGCCAACTGGGTGGTCTATCTGTGTGCCAAAGCTTGCGATCTGGCTTGCCGGAGAAACAGATTCTTAGAGCAGGACCAGCAAGAGGAAACCAACAGTCAACCATTTAATGAGCAGTGGAATCAGTTGTGGAATGACTTGGAATACTGGGCTGAGACTCGCGGTCCTGCAATGTTGCCAGTCAAAACTAAGGCGGCTATTGGCCGAGGGTTTCCTGAAATACTCTATGCCCATCACGCTGCCATCTCTGCAAACCAACTACGACATGCCGCCTCAATTATAATGCTAGACATACGGCCTCAAGATAGAGGAGGCCTCTATTCGGAACTCCAGTGGTCAGCTATATGGCATGCTCGACATATATGTGGCATCTCTTTGACAAATTCACACGCGGGAAGTCTTGTCAATGCAATACAACCTCTCTTTCTGGCCGGAAGGCTGTTTACTCACCCCAAAGAGCATTTGACCATTGGTAAACTGCTCAAGTTTATTGAAGATACAACCGGATGGAGCACGCTGTGGAGGTTGGCAGATTTGGAACAAGTCTGGGGCTACAGGCGCGGAGATATATTGTCGTGTATTTAAAATGATTCTATGCCACATCATAGGACCGCACTTCAGTTGCTTGTGCTAAATTTGTGGTATAGTCTGTATATTGTAAAACACCGCAATATCAACTAGTATCACCTAGTTTACCGCAACAAGTCAACTTTTTCTTGGCTTGCCTCAGCGGCTTCCAGCGTTACATCATCGTTGAACGTCAATGAATTGAAATGTTGTTAATTTGTCTCTTTTTGCTGTCACGAAATTTCGGAGTAATCGGACTAACTTTGAACTTCAAAACTTCGGGACCTTGCCGAAGCACCTACACGCTCCCGAATGACCGGCAACTTAACAGTTTCGCCTAGTTCTCATGTCTAAATACAGTACGGAGCTACCTCCGTCGATGAGGCTATACGCTCGCTAAGCCTAGGCAGTCGTTCTAATTCATGCGTCATCTCACCAAAATTGAGCTACATCCGCTTCGGTCAAATGCCTTGATCCCCATACAGGTAGCATAATTGCTCTAAGCTCTGGCACTAGTCTATATCAGGTTTCAGTCGCCGAGAACTTGCATGACGGCTGCCACTGATCCGTGCCGTCGGCTATCGCTCATCCGCGCGGATATTTAAGTGACACCTGTTGGCAGAGTTGATGTTCCTCAAGGCAACAAGTTAGGGACCAATAATCTCTTTTTAGCAACTTTTCGCGAGAAACCAACTTGAAAAAGACTCTTAGTTGGTTATCATAAGTGGAACTAACCGCTACAGGGTTGAGGGGATGTTACGTTCCTTCGCCACAGTCGCTTAGAAACCGACAACTTGCAATTATCATGGTATATTCTACATTATGTTTGTTCAAATATGAAGTACGCGGATAACGTGTGATCTAATAGTTTCTCTCAACAATTACGAAAGGTGAAACCAAGCGTGTCTAATCATGGAAAACAAGAAGAAAAAAAAAAGAAAAAAGAAAAAGAACAACAATTTGAGGTATAAGTCGCTCTTCTCATGGACAGCCAAGAGATGTGTCAGCCTATCTCTGATCCCATTCCAGGCCGATGTGATCCTATATCCGGTGGGAGCCGCCCAAAAGACGGACAAGGAAACACAACCGCCACGGAACGTCGGTGTCTAAGATGACGTGTAGTATAGGGCCCCGTTAGAGTCATACTATTGAAATCATGAAAAACAAGCGATAGTAGTTGCTTTTAATGAGGTGGGGATAATTTGCCTGTTTGGGTCGAAGCCGAGCCCCTGTCAGGTGCCTTCTTGACATCACGTTGTGAAATCCTCTGCTATGCTGCCTAATAGATCCATCACTGGAGTCAAAAAACGCGCCCGGACTGGTTGCTTGAGTTGTCGTAGACGGAGGCGTAAGTGTGAGTCACGCTCATTCCACGATCAGCCGCGATATACCGGGGTAGCGATGAACTCGCTGACAATGGACGACTTCACAAAGGTGATGAACAGAAACCTCGATGCAGCAGCTGCGATACCAGGGGAATATCATGCCAATATCCTGACGGTCTAATCTTCATACCTGCCCCGACATCTCGATACCAGGGTTTGAGAGACCCGGATTTCAATCAAGTGGCACAGACTTACGATACTATCGAGGTATACTTAACCATACTGTCCTTCACCCACGATCAACATTGACGATATTTGAAATTAGTTTGTAGAAAATGCAACGTTCCAGATTGCGGATGCTCACACCGCAGGTATACTGCCTGAACCAGCATCCGTCACGGCCGAGACTCCTCGACCCCCATTCGCCCCCGAGACAGTCACTCCACAGCGTATAGATATTCAAGAAGAACATTGTGAAGCTATAGAAGACTCTGTAGCTTTGGAAGATCCAGATGAAGAGCCAAGATCCGAGTTTATCCCATCTTCTAACGTCAATAACGCGTCTACAGTGACTGTTGTATCAGACAGCAGTCCGGCCGTGACACCTGCGGCTCGCGTGAATCCAACGTCTCCACGAAAGTTAAGCTTGGAGAAAGCCTCAGCCTATGACTTCCCAACAAACTTCGGCTTACCTCCTGGAGATCAAGAAATTGCGTTACTGCGGCACTTTCGTGATAATTTGTGTCCATGTCTGGATATTGGGGGCTCAAAGTCAGCGGCTGGGCTCGACATTATGGTCCTGGCCAACTCCAGCAAACCACTCATGTCCTCAATTCTCTGGCTAGCCTCCGAACATTATGCTTCAATATCTTTGCAGTCTGAAATTGATCTTACTCCAGAAGCTGTCACGTACCGTCAACATGCTACAGAGGGCCTCGAGCTTGAACCGGACGACACTACTGTCAAACATATAGGACACGGGTTGTTAACATTGAAGGAGCTACTTGGATCGAAGCCTCGGCAATGGACCGGTATCTTGGCACGGAGTAACATTTACGATACCACTATAACATTCGTACCCCCTGAGGAGACCATTGATTCCTTGTTTTGGGCCTTACTCAAGTTTGGTACAGTTGATCCTGGACATCGTATTTTAGAATGAGACTGATACTTGTTTTCATTACCATAGATCTTGCGGCATCCATAATTGGCAAACAGTCACCGAAAATTTCGATATGTACCCTTCGAGATACCGCTAGCCGACTTACCTTTCGTCCAGGTGCCAGATATGATTGCCAAGCATCGTTATTGCGCCTGGGGGAATGTTTACATATCGTGTATGGGACTGACGACTCGTTGAGCTCGGTATCCAACGGATCTAACCGACAAGAATCACCGACCTCCGAGACACAACTGACAAATTTCTGGTCCCAGTGGACTTCTCTCTGGAGAGAATGCCAAGATTGGCATAAGCATCGAGCCCTGGAAGTGCAGCCCCTCTTGGTAGTGGATAGCATAGAAATGAGCAGCATCAACACCCCAGACGACCCATCCTTCCCAATGCTGCTGTTCACCGAGCCTCTCGCACTTGTCGTCAACATAACGTATTATATAACATCCCTCCTGTTACTCAGTCGGCGGCCCCGTCTATCAAGACTCTGGGCTCATTCTAGCCTTGTAACCTCTATGGCCTGGCATGCTCAGTCTATTGCCGGGGCGCTAACCAGTAATCAGTATCCGGAGAGTTGGGACCCGGTTGTATTCGCAGGGGTCCTGATGGCTGGCAAAGCGATGACACACGAGTCACAGCAGATGTCTTTGCTGAAGCAGCTCCACAAGATGATCAATGCAGTTGGCTTAAATCTAAGGAGCGAGGTTCAAGAACTCCAATCATCATGGACTATTTCACATCACGATAGTCATTAGGTAGTATGATAAGAAGTTTTTTGTTGGCTTTGAACAAAGTAGAACGGCCTGCCTCTCTAAACCAGTTCCTGCGATAGAGCTCATAAATAAATGGTGTGACGCTCTACCACATGCGACAGTCCAATTTGCGCCTTTGCTCCCTGCTGAGATAGCTCTGCTTTTAACAATCAGTGTCTCTCCCGTGAACGTAACAATATCGGCATTCAAACAGCCGATAACAGCGACGTGTGGTATCACAGGCATCTCATTATGCGTATAGCATCTAATAGCGAAACTGTTTGCTTCTTGGCTTATAGATTTAGATCGAATGGGCGACGATGTATATGCTACTGTTTGATGATAGGACGTCGGTCCAAGTTCCATATTTCCAAATACGGAAATCGTAGCCTGCCCTGCCGCTTATGGTCGTTTTGGTTAGTCTATTGATCCAGGTTCGAAGCTTCAAGACAGGCCCATTGTTTTTTCTCAAATGATCCCATACGGCAATTGAGTCGGCAGAACTAATACTTTGAAACACCGACTCGAAAACCCGAAGAGTGATGCGTCCCTTGACGTGATTGGTTTGGTACAAATGAGCCTCAACGTTGCCGCTTTACCCTACTCAGTGGCCAAACTTCTTGTTACCACCCGCCCATGTACAACTTAGAAAACCTAAAAGCTTTAACTATCTACTCACATACATTAACGGGGCTGCATGCGCTTCTGCGAGAACCACAGGGAATGGCGCGCTACAGTCGATGGTCTAAAGGATGCGGAACCTGCCGTCAAAGGAAGATACGGGTCGGCTGAGTCAATTCCCCTGGTCTTGTTCGCATTTACTTACTGATCGGATGTTAGTGTGATCTCGGCTTTCCCGAGTGCCAGCGCTGTTTCTGTACGGGTAGGAGATGTTTGGGCTATGAACGCAATTACAAGTTCAAATTGGTTACCAGCTATACATCTCCTAACCATAAACCTCGGCACTTAGCGAATCATGACCCTTCTTCCAGATTGATCACAGACCCGTCAAATACACACGGGGGGTATCAACTGGCGATAAGGTCTTTACCTCGACCGGAAAGCGGCATTGGGCGGACAGCTGTGGACTGCGACGCCCTCGTCGGACCATTCCTCAAATTACTCTTCCCCCCTAACGCGGACCCGTGCAGCTGGAGAACGTTCCCTGGAGGATGGATATGCTCTCTTCCAACGCTATTCCACAATCGAGGCGAACTAGTCAACCAAGGGCTGTTGGCACTGTATATGGGCTTCATTGGCAGAAAAGACGGGGATGCTACACTTACACAGATCTCGGCCGAACTATACGTTAATGCACTGCACAATCTACGGAACAGTGATGTATGGTTAAAGCAAAATCCGCGTCCAGATGAAATCGATACAGTATTAGCAAGTGTTCTGGTATTTTCTTGCATTGAGCTTCTGACAAGTGAGGGCGGACCTAGCGGCTATATATCACATATCAGAGGTGGTCTACAGCTCGTGAAACGGTTTGGTGGGAAGTTATCAGACAGTGTCTTCACGTCAACCATCTTTAAGGCACTTCGATTCCTTGGTGTACGTCCAAATAACCTTAAACAGTACTATAATTTGGGAATTATGCGCTGACTGATCCGCAAGTTCTACGATGCTGTAACACATCAACAGCCCTACTTCATGTCCCAGCCGCCGTACAACACTCTTTATCTTGCCCGGCAAGAAGATCCAGATTATTTGATGCAGAAGATGATTGAAGCAGCTGTCGCGTTACCAAACTTGGAATACGATGCGAACAAGCTGTACGCTTCGAAGCACACTACTGAAATTCAGATCCGTCAAGCTTGGCTGGCTGCCGAACTTTTGCTCGGTCAGGCTGCCGTTGTGGATCGACAGTTGAACCAGTGTCTGCAGCAGATGACTTCCGTTACACCACATCCGACACTAGTTGTGACTTTAACTGCTGAGAGCGATACATGTTACCTCCCCGGGAAGCAACTGCAGTTTACAGACTGTTCGTCTAAGTGTAACTGGCTCTTCTACTGGTCTGTTATTGTGCGGTTAAACAGACTGATAAAGCATCTGTACGATATATCTTCGGCGCTGTCTTCAAAACTTCCGGACAAACCGCAACTCTCGACGGCTTTGACGAATCTTGTGAAGGATGACGATGTTTTGGATCAGTATGCGGATAATATTGGGATTTCCCTTGGCGCGGGGATGACTGCCAGTACATTTCACGCGCAAGAGGCATTAATATTTGTGTTCAACCTCTATACCTATTGGGAGGACAGAGGGAATGTCGAGAAGACGAATTGGTGCATTCAAACCCTTCAGGCTCTTCAGAATCATGACCGTAGCCTGGATATTGAGGTCAACCCATCCCGCTAAGTGTTCGATTTTGATGGCAGCTTTTCTTTCAGAGTATTAATAATTGGAAGGCTGAGATTTGGAGTTAGTGAAGTTATGGTACCCCCTTCTATCTGGATCCATATAAAGATTGCTATTGGCTATCTTGATACATGTACTATTAGGTAGATACAATACACCCTTCTGCATTACCCTAGTTACCCAATACTGTTGGGCTATTTGACGCCTGAAAATTCAGCCGCATGAATACCTAAGCAAAACAATCTTGAATCCCGAAATCTCTTTCCTTCGACCAGAAAGCTCTCTTGGATTTTGATCCAAGTTTCTCACGTTAGGTTCATTATTATGCAACATTATCCTCATATCTAGCTGAGTGTATTAAACCCAAGTGCCAGTACAGATCATGTAAGTGACATAACTTGTTGTCTAGGTATATAGCTAACATGAAATAAAGAAAAATATTGGTTCCCAAACTTCCCTTCGCCTGCTTTACATACCTTGCGCCTGTTATGGCAGCTATCAGTACGAGCACCTGCAAAGCATTGCGCCCGACGAGTCGCGATGACTTCAAAATCGCAATCGTTTGTGCTAAAGACCTTGAATACAATGCTGCCTGTCTCTTAATAGACGGCTTCTGGGATGAGGATGGAGATACCTTCGATCGAGCTACCCTTGCATTAAACTTTTATTGTTAACTGGAATTTCCGACGGTGTCCCGAATGCTATGGGCAAGGAGTTACTACTTGAAGATGTGGTTGTAAGCGACACTGTTGTCTAATATGATCTAGGCAGCCAGTATCCGAATGGATTCCGTGAACGGGATACCCTTAAGATCGTCTTGGCCGGCCAGATAAGAATATTCGGAATTTAGTCGCTATGTTCAAAACAGAACTAGGATTAGAGCGCCCGGAGAAGAAAGCATCGTCTTATTTAAGAACGGTACAGCATAGGGTATGCAACAGCGTTTACAGAGATGCAGGGTCACTTACTAATACCCTGGTTACACAAACACCATTCTGTTAAAAATGACTTATTGCCACAAACATTACTAGGTATTGCTCAGCGTAATGTATATGCGACGATTATAATGAAGCCGGAGATCCTGTATGTGGTCGACCTAGAAGGACATTCTGCTAGTAAACCGGCTCGCAAAGGATTATCTGCTCCCTCCTTTGCGCCTAGAGTATAGGAAGAAGCTAGAAGATGGTGGCGATGTAGAAGCTACAGTTACTCAGCAACCATCTATTTTGGTCGGAACTTGGACCTGGAGACACAACCCTCAATTCAGCACTCGATCACAATCACATCTCCCAGAAGCATAACATTATCGCTTTTAAGACAGAAAGTACCAGAGACTAGGACGAATTCTCTTGTATTATTGTTCAAGGCGTGCCTACATACGGAGACGGTCATATTATGAACGACGTAGAGTTCTTGAAGAATTTGCCGCCACAAAAGTTACATCTGCCGCAAGAGATTTAGTTGACTATTACCCTCAGACGGATAGGTGGATTTCCATGGAGTCTAAAAATCAGGTCAATAAATTATTAAAGAATCAGGCAAACATAACCTGTCTTGGGGACTTGCATATCACTAGTCCTCCAGATGATAGGATCTGTATTCAGCAGACCAAAGGCGGTTTACTAATGGATGCCTACGACTGAATATGAAGAAAGACGCATATAAATTGTGGTGTGAGAGTCCCCAGACGTGTTTACTATGAATAAGAGGCGATTGGCAAAGGAAAGACTTTGTTGCTATGCGGAATTATCGATCAGCTAGACAGGCATATAAATCTCGAGTAATGCTATTTTTACCGTAAAAGCCCGTGCCCGTACTGAATTTAATGTGTACACACCACCAATCCCATCAGTCCACACCATACTTACACAAGACGTGTACAATCACGAAGTCCAACATCACGAAGTTCAACATCGCGATAGATCTCTTTCCCAGCGGCAAAGCCAAGCGCGCGCCGCAATCTCTCAATTTGCAGTTCAGAGTTCGCAGAACAGTCTCATCTACAGCGAGGCTAGCTGCGATAGCTGCCGCCGCCTTCGAGCCCGAGCCCGAGACCAAGACTGAAGAGGTTATTGAAGTCATCCCGGCCACCCAACCCAGCACTGTCGAGCCAGATCAACTAGCCGCCCTGTAAGAGCGTTGAAAGTAAATTGGAAGCGCCGGAAATCCCTTTTTTAAACGAATTGGCCTTGACTGATGGTCTATTTCCTAGTATGCTGCACTGTATTCTGGTGTACGGGTGTAGCAATTGCAATTAAAGGGTAAACGTAGCTCCTGATGTGGAGTATTACGGCGAAAATAGCAATACTCTACGGTGAAAATAGCAATACTCTAAATCTCTGCATCGAGAGTAATCCGTGAATCACGGGGATCCATATCATAACTTGACTTATTTTCAGTCTGTGACTACCTATATTTCTACTTGACAGTAAGGTAGTTTTCTCAATGTATCTAGAATATGACTTCTATGTTAACACCTTTGCCAGTTTCTTCATCTGTGCTAATAGTGAAGAGTGACTTCATTCCTGTATACAGGATACGTCAACTTAGAATCAAACAGTTACTGTTAAAGAACGAAATTATACCAGGATCAAAATATAAGTCTTTATCTCGGTTATTTAGCATGGCTGGTACAATTGTATCCTGATATCCGTGTGCCATAAAAGCTTTTGAGCGCCTCTTTTCCTTGGGTATCCCAATCGAACTCTTCATTGAAAATGAGTTCTTCCGCCCTCTTTTCTCCGAATTTAGTTCACATTTGGCTTTCAATGCAAACATCAGTAAAAGTATCTTCTCCGCGGAGTCATTTATGAATCTGGGTCCGAAGCTTAAAATGAGGCAACAATATAAGAACCATCATTTGCCGTTTTGTGCGTCGGATTTCTTCCCCCCTTTCACATTTTACCATCCCCACTTTTCTCACCTCACATTTCTTTCACCTTTCACTGTTTCCCCATACCCACAGTGATTCACCTCACTTTTCTTTCACCTTTCTCAGTGATTCACTTCACTTTTCTTTCACCTTTCTCAGTGCATCACTTCGCTTTTTTATTTATTTATTTCCCCAATCCTGCCATTCCTCCATCTATCATCTTCTTTCTTCCGCATACAACTGTTGTCCCAATTTCAGTAACACCAAATCCACCGATCATCTTGCGTTGTCGATATATACAATGCCCATCATATCGACCATCGATGCAGAGACTCTGGTTAACCAGGGTCTCTTGAGCCCTGCGAATTCTGATGGAGTACGACGAATTCACAAACGCCGTCTCAATAGATCAAGCGATGAAGAGAATCAGCATCTGCCACTAAGCCCTGTTTCGATGATATCATCATCCTCACAATCGGACTCCGACATGTACACCACCATTCCTGAGGAGTTGGTCTCACTGGCCACGGTCAAATATCTAGGGTACGATGACCAGACGGCGACCCAGGTATGGAGTAAATGGATCGTTAAAGCGCCTGGAAACCCTGTCCCAGAGTCTGTTTCTTTTGACCAATTCGACTTGAGATTCATCGATCACGTCGTCGCTTACTCTTACGCCCTTCGTGGTGAATTGGACACCGATACTGATGATGATACGCAATGGATTCAAGTCATGAATCGTTGTGGAATCAATGAGGATACCCAAACCGCCATCATGGATCCTGTTTTCAGACAGGTTCGGTTGACTGAGACTTGCCAATTCTGGATCCGAAATACGGTTGAACTACGATATGAGGCCCTTCAAGAAGTACAAGCAGCCTCTCGAGAAAGAGAGCAATTGATCCAGAGAGCCGCTGTGCGCCCGGGAGGTTCTGGTTCTCAAGGTTTATCCAGGGGGGGAGCTAATAATCGTTCCATCTCCGAAACTCTTCGAATGACTCCAGGATTCTCTCAAGATACTGCAATGTCTGCAGCCGCCTTACGTGCCGCCAATGCACCAGGCTCCCTTACAATATACAGAGGCACAGAGAAGTTTCGCCTGGACAGACTATTCGACAGCAATGGCAACGTAGATAATATCGAGACGTTGTCATCACGCCCGCCCACCGACTTCTGTGGCAAAGCATCTGCATATTATTTCGCAGTCGACCGAGACGTTGCCATCAAGTATGCCTGTTATGCCAAACGCCGTAGCGATATCAGCTCGTTGGTCATTGTCCATGCAACATTCAAGAATTCTACCATTGAGAGTCTTTCAGAAGCCGAAATGCAGCGCGTATATTGGCCCAGCGAAGAGTGGAAGCGAATCATCTTTTGGTCGCGAAGGGGCAAAAAGCTCCCTTCTGACCTGCACAAGTATCGACAAGCATCGTTGATCATCGGAACTATCGCAGGAAAGCCGAACACGGTCTACACCAATCTGGACCATCATGATGAGATACCTGAGGAGTTTGTTCTCAAGAATTCGGCAGGAAGAAACGCGGTCCAATATGTGTTCCTTAACGATGAGGGCGAGGAGCTTTTGGGAAAGGCCGAGATTAAAGTGTTTCCTCTCACCAGTGCCGAATTCCATCGATACCACCGGGAGGCCCAACAAAATCTCTAGGGAAGAGAGATTCTAGAGTATGAAAGGGAAGCTCACTAGGTAGTTCTATCCTATAGTTACGAATTGATCATGGAATTTTGTTTGGAGCAGTGCTCCCACTTGAACATCGATCCATGGAGGCATTATGCCGATGGGATGTGAGACATAGCTGTGTTGCAGTAATAAACAGTTGAAAGCGTCGTTTTATTCTCAAATTCTGTTGCAGAATGTGCCCTTGGCAAATGACCCCCAAGAATAAGACCACAACAGAACGCACATTCACTGCTCCTGAAAGGCACAAATATACGTGTAAATACAACCCAGATAACGATTTTAGTGTTTGAAGTTTGATATGGATTCATCAGATAAAAGTTTGATGGAGACTAGGCCTGATAAAATCCCAAGCGCCAATAATAGGGG